CCCCAAAACCCCAAAACCCCAAAACCCCAAAACCCCTAAACAGTAGAAGATAATTGAAAGATTACCTTCTAGCCTAAAGTTTATTATATGGCTAAGGTGAAATTTACGATTTATGAAATTGTATGATTAGATCCATGATTTCATAAGCCCGAGTTCCTCCTCAAAGATATACTGTAGAGCTCTGAAAATTTACTCTGATGCAGTCTGTTTACCAGCAGGATACATTCTATTAGAATATTAGATTATTTCTTAACTTACTTTAGTAGTCTAGTCTAACATATTGTTATTGCCAAGTTTTAAATCACCAGGATTTGTCTTCATTGCACTAGTTCCAAATTTTGAAGATGGCATTTTGGGAAGATCCGGGTCAATAGCTCTGCTAACTTTCTTGAATTTAGACATTTTCAATACTGGAGTGTGAGGCATTGTATCAGTCATTAGGCTAGGTAAGTTCCTTCCTCTTCCTTTCAAGTGTAGCGCTGGGATATCTAAAAGTCAGCAATTTTGATACTTTTAAGTGGGTCTGGGTTCAATTCAAGGGTCTTGGTTGATTCAGTCAATCAGGGAAGTGCATCTGACTGGACTAATTTCGCATGATTGATTTTTTGAGCATGAGACTTAGAGTGAATTGGCATAAGCTCAGCATTAAATTTACTAACACCTTTGTTATTGTTAAATGATGATTTGCCCTTGATTACTTTATTGAACTCACAGACAGATTTCATCGCAATGAAAGGCGACATTGCCCTACCAGGATAACTTTCCATGCTGAATAAACTACAATTCCGATTTGAGTTGAGGCTTGACTTTCAGCTGTTCTACATTTTGGGTAAGAATTTAACTTGGGCACAAGACTTACAGACTCGCTTAATTCTAACTCTTGGAGAGCTAAGCTACGGATATCTGAGCATAAAAATCTTTGTAATGGCTTGAGCCTTGGTCTTCTTCTAGCACTCTTAGTGCTTTTAAGATTTAGGTTTAGCTCCATTTTATATGAAAAAGTTAATAATTTTTAATTAATTTTTGTCAAAGTTTTGATTTATGCTGATTTCTAAATTCTTATGAGGCTAGATTTAAGATTGCTACAAAAGCATATCAGGATATAATTGGAGATGGAGAGAATTACTCTGAAATCTCTGTGGCTCTTTAATAGTTGAAGTCTCTGAAAGTATGCTTAATTTACTAAATCTTCTGAGTTATTTCCAACTTTGCAAATTTAAGGTTTATTGTTTTAGAGAACTTAGTAATTAGTATCTAGTAATTTGAACTGGGGGTTCACATCAATACGCGATGAAGAGTGATTTTAGAGCACAATTGTTCATTATTCGAAGCTGATATTGCTCAACATATTAATATATTTTACTAGAGTGTTAAAGCATGTTCTCGTGAGAGTAAGAATATTCGTTGATTTCATTACAAGGACATATACTTTTGAATTATTTGGAGTGCCAAAAGTTATTCTCTGCTCTATTCAACCCAAATATCATCTCATGGGGTTTTGGGGTTTTGGGGTTTTGGGG